TCGCAATGTGAGCACAGACCAACCCCTTGTCTAAGGACTTTGGAATCAAAGGATTCTTTAAAAAAAAGAAGATTTTATTAAAAAAGAAAGAATCATGTCTGAAAACTCAGGCTTTAGGGATTAAACACCAAAAATAACTTTCTTGGGGTTCAGCTTAAAGGTTACAAGCAAAACAAAAGCACCTGGGGTTACCACCGAGGAATCCACAAACCAAAACAACCAAAAGGGCCCTAGTCGCGTCAAGTCTTAATGTTTCCTGTGCTACTTACATATCTGGGGTTCCAAATGAGGAGTTTCTAGGTATGATGCTGATGATTTCCCACACCTGGCTTAAAGCTTACAGCTTGTTGCTGCCTTCCCCTCTCTCCAGCCCCCCCACACCCGGCCGTTTTTCCGGTTTGAAAGGGTACAGCCTCCCTATTGGTTCTTCTGGTCTGGTGCCAACTCAGGTTAAGCTTCTCTTACCCCTTTACAGCTTCTCTTACCCCTTTACAGGTAAGGCAATTAGGGCCCAGCTGCTAAGGAGGATTCTATAGCTACTGACTGGCTGGGTGTCCAGAAAAGGGAGCTAACCCCCGCCCCCCCCCCATTTATCACAGGGGCATTGTGGGGACGGCTGCTGAAAGCCAACGACAGTCAACATGATCAATGCAGCATCTACACTGATGCTGTGTTGCCCTAACTCTGTAGTGTAGACTGGGGCTGAGGATTTAGGGTTAGATGTCAAGTTTGGATTTAAGGCGAAGGTTCAGGGTCTGGGGTTAGGGTTTAGTATTCAGGTTTGGAGTTTGGGTTGAAGTTTTAGGGCTTGGGGTTAGGGGTTTAGTGTTCAGAGTTGGTGCATAAGAACGTAAGAGCGGCCAGACTGGGTCAGAGGAAAGGTCCATCTAGCCCAGAGTCCTGTCTTCCGACAGTGGCCAATGCCATGTGCTAGGGCTCAGTTTTAAGGTTTATGTTCAGGGATTGGGGTTAGGGTTAGACATGGGAGAAACACTGATCCTGAAACAACAGAAACACTCATCCTGACTGGGGACCAGGGGCACTGGAACGTGGAGGGGGGCAGGGGCCTATGCTCTCCCACTTTTCACCAGCCCTAAGAGTGAGCGAGGAGGGGAAGGGAGTGGAGAAGAATGAGTGGGGGGCAGGGATTTTGGGGGAAGAGGCAGCGTGGGAGTGGGGCCTCAGGGCTTTAAGGGGCTGTAAAATGGGTTTAATCATTTGTACAGTATAGCATGTGATTTTCTTCTACTTGGGTGGATTAGTACCAATTATATTTAACGTTAATTTGTCCGGGGAAGTGAGATCTCCATTGGGCTGCAGGGGCTGCCGTGAATTGTGTTTAGAAATCAATTTGTGCTCACTAAGCAATCCGATTACAGGTCAATTTTTATAACAAAATTAAACCATTTTAGTTCTTTTTTTCTTCTTCTTTTTTTTTAAGCCATTAACTGTATCTAACTGAGGGAGCCTGCCTCTGTATGATAAGATGAGGCAGCTCCAGAAGTGCATTTTGTGAATCTTGTATGTTTAGATGAAAATCAACACCTTCTCCCAGTTCAGATAAGTAGTTCCCTCCCAGGCCGCCATTGAAGTCGCTGGCAGCCTCCCAAGTTGCAGGAAAGAGCGTAGGTTGCAGGCAGGAAGAAGAAAAGAACATCGAGTGAAAACGGATGACATTTTTGACTTCTATAATTACAAGCAACACTTAGGATTACATTCCGGCAATTAAAAGATTAGCAGAGAGGAAAACGGTTGACAGCACATTGTGCATGGATGCTGCTGTTGTCATGGTTTCCCCTGTATAGCCACAAAATAAACGGCACGGAGGATTAACATTAGAAAATGCAGATGCAAACGGTGTCCCTTTAAATAGAGCTTTTTTAAAAAATGCTCTGTATTAGTTATAAAGGCTATCCTTTCAAAGCTTTTGGCATAGTTACAGCTCTCTGGGAAGGCTAATGAAGCCTCAGTCTACACGCCCTATTTGGGACAGAGGCGGAATTACATATTTTACAGATGGGGACGTTAATGGTCTCACTGGGAGACAGTGGAAGAGTCAGAAATATATAGGAGTCCAGGATCTGAATGTGTGTGATCACTATACCATGCTTCCCTACAAAGTTCCCCCCTCCCACCCTGGTGTAGGGTGCCCAGATCTCCCGATTTTATAGGGACAGTCCCGATATTTGGGGCTTTTTCTTATATAGGCACCTATTACCCCCCACCCCGTCCTGATTTTTCACATTTGCTATCTGGTCACCCTACCCTGATGTGACGTGTGGTATCATCTCGTAATAAACTGTCTGAAACAGATCAACTTTTCACATAAGCATTGAATGCCTGAGATGAAAGAAAGAGACATTTAAAGAAATGATGGGGCTTAACGTTCCCAGTGAACAGGTTTCAGAGGAACAGCCGTGTTAGTCTGAAGTGAGCTGTAGCTCACAAAAGCTCATGCTCAAATAAATTGGTTAGTCTCTAAGGTGCCACAAGTCCTCCTTTTCTTTTTGTTCCCAGTGAAGTTTCACTTTCAGTTTAATGAAAGTCCAGAGTCAAGTAAACAGCTCTTGTTCTAATCACCTCTTGATGTTCCTGGGTCTCTGGTGAGAGGAACTGGGTGGAACAGAAACCACTTTTGCAAGTTCGTTAAATGAATTTTAACTCGCTAGAACGATCTTAGTACCGTGTATGTTTTCTAGCAGGATTGTCAGGTAGCAAATAAGGCCTTAGTTCTGCACACGCTCGCAGGCCTGTCGACTTCAGGGGGTCTCTGGGCAGGGGGGTGGTGTGGCACAGGCCTGCCCCCGAGGGGAGGGGGTGTGTTGGCAGCACAGAGCTGGCTCCCGCCGCACTGCACCCCATTGCCCCCAGCTGGACCCTCACTCCAAGGACCGACCCCCCCCTTCCCACACGCCATGCCCCATTTCCCCCAGATATGCTTGGCATGGGGCCCACAAAAGGTTAATCCGGGCCTGTTAGCATCAGCTAACTTAGATGATGAGCTTAATCCTCCCCTTGGAAAGGCAGAGGCCAGATTCAGCCAGCTGGCCGAGTGCATATGGGATCATGAGAAACTAACACGGAACAGCAAAATACGGGTCTAGCAGCTGCGTGTTCTGAGCACGCTGCTGTACGGAGGGAAGACCTGAACCAACTACAGCTGGGACGAGAGAAGATTTAAACACTTTCCGTTCCCGCTGTCTTCCCTGCGTTCGAAACAAACCTGCCAAGGCTGCTCCCTAGCGTCAAACACAGCTGTCTCCGTTGGTTCGGTCATCTGCACCGGAGGAACAAGGGACGTGCTCCAAACGATCTCTTTGGTCCACAGAGGCTCTTTGGCAAAGGGTCCCCAGTTCTTAACAACCAAATACAAAATGGGGAATAACTGGCTAGGTGGCAGAACTGCTGGGAAAACATCCGATGAAGTGAGCTGTAGCTCACGAAAGCTTATGCTCAAATAAATTTGTTAGTCTCCAAGGTGCCACAAGTCCTCCTTTTCTTTTTAGGGATCTGGGAGTTATACCTGGAGTATTGCGTCCAGTTTTGGGCCCCCCACTACAGAAGGGATGTGGACAAATTGGAAAGAGTCCAGTGGAGGGCAACGAAAATGATTAGGGGGCTGGGGCACAGGACTTATGAGGAGAGGCTGAGGGAACTGGCCTTATGTAGTCTGCAGAAGAGAAGAATGAGGGGGGATTTGATAGCAGCCTTCAACTACCTGAAGGGGGGTTCCAAAGAGGATGGAGCTCGGCTGTTCTCACTGGTTGCAGATGACAGAACAAGGAGCAATGGTCTCACGTTGCAGTGGGGGAGGTCTCGGTTGGATATGAGGAAAAACTATTTCATTAGGAGGGTGATGAAGCACTGGAATGGGTTCCCCAGGGAAGTGGTGGAATCTCCTTCCTTAGAGGCTTTTAAGGCCCAGCTTGACAAAGCCCTGGCTGGGATGATTTAGTTGGGGTTGGTCCTGCTTTGAGCAGGGGGTTGGACTAGATACCTCTTGAGTTCTCTTCCAACCCTAATCTTCTATGATTCTATGATCACAAATTAAATATGAGCCAACACCGTGATGCTGTTGTGAAAAAGGCTAATATCATTCATGGGCAGTGGTTCTCCACCAATGGGGGCACGCAGAGGTCTTCTGGGGGGTCCATCAACTCTGAGTGAGTCACCCCCCTTCCCTTGGTCAGTTTGGGATTATGATGAGGTAATGCTCACCTGACTCTGAAAGGGGGGCGGAGGCAAAGTCAAGAGGGCGGAAAAGACATGATAAAAGGGAGAGACGTTTGCCATGCTCTTCCTCTCTCTTCCACCTCGTCTACAGACACCACCACCAAGCAACTAAAGCGCTGATCAAAGGGAAGAGCCTGGCTAAAGAGCAACCAGCCAGCCTGTGGTGAGAAGCATCTAAGTTTGTAAGGTGCCACTAGTACTCCTTTTCTTTTTAAATTTGTAAAGGCATTGAAAGCGTTAAGATCAGCTTAGAATGTGTTTTGCTTTTATTTCATTTGACCAAATCTGACTTCTTATGCTTTGATTTATTATCACTTAAAATCTATCTTTATAGTTAATAAATCTGTTTGTTTATTCTACCGGAAGCAGTGCGTTTGGTCTGAAGTTTGTCAGAGTCTCCCCTTGGGATAACAAGCCTGGTATGTATCAATTTGTTTGTTAAATTGATGAACTCATATGAGTTTGCAGCGTCCAGCGGGCATAACCGGACACTGCAAGAAGGAGGTTCCCAGCGCTGTGTCTGGGACTGGAGATATTCACCAGTGTCTTTCGGTTGCACAATCCAAGGAGCAGCTGACATGTCAGAGGCTGTGCGTGACCAGCCCAGGAGTGGGGGTTCTCACAGCAGAGCAAGGTCAGGCTGGCTCCCAGAGTCAAGGATTGGAGTGACCTAGCAGATCACTGGTCCTGATAACACCAAAGGGGAATGTCACAGAGTGCTTTTACCTAAAACTACTTTTTATTAGGTCTCAAGGACAGACAGACAGACACACACACACACACTGTAGCAGTAGGGTGAGAGCATTCTCACGTTTCTATTTACCCGAAGTCTGAAATGGTTTTGAGGAATCAGCAACCAGCTTTCTGGGGACCCTCCTTCCGTCCAGTTGCTGGGGATTTTAGATGCCCAATCCTTGCCCAAAGAAAAGCTTCCTCGGACTGCTCCAAAGTCTGTTCTTTCACCTAGTCTTTTAGAGCTAACTTAAATGAAGCACAGCCCTCATAGGGATTCCTAGTGGTTTGCCATAGTTGGACATACCCGAGTTGGAGAACCTGAGAGAGACTTTTACCCCCAAAGGGAGCAGTGCACCCTGCCAGCTCCAGCATGGGAAGCAACTCTCAGGCAGTGTTGTGAAAGCAGTCCTGTTTATTAGATGTCTGGAACCCAGCTCACGTGGGTCATGAGAAGCCAGCAGCAAGTTTCAGCCTGGTCCATCTTGGTTGGTCCAGAGCCCTCTTTTGTGTCCCAGTTCAGGAGAGTCTCCAACTTCCAGCAGCCCACACTTAACAACTCCTCACCTGGCTACTTCTTAGCCTTTTGCTCTTGTTCCCTGGCAAACCCGTCTGGCTTCCTGTGGAGCGGTGGATCATCCATAGTCGTTTGTTGCTAGGTACCAGGCAATTGTAGTGGCTGTTGTCTTCTCAGACTCTCTCCATGGACATGGAGGTAGGCAGGTATCCATCACACCCTACAGGGTTTACTCTGCAGAGAGTCAACAACCTTTTCCCACCACCAAGTTAACTATGCAGCACATTGGGGGAACTGACACACAGACGGCATTCAGATAAACTATCACAGAAAATGCCCACTCCTCACACAAGCCCTTTCTGGTTTGTCAGTTTCCCCTGCTTATTCATCACAGGATCACGTTCACCCTCTTAGCTACAGCATCACACTGCGGTCTCATGTTTAGTGGGTGTCTACCAAGACCAACCTGCTCTGCTCATGAATTGTACACCAGTTGTACCTCAAGTCCCCAACCAAGACAATGAGCCACCATGGGGCACTGCTCGGACAGCTGATGAACAGGACAGACTCATCCCCAAGACGTTCTCAAGCTCAACGAGGAGCAAAGAAATGAGACGAGGATGCCCAAGTTGAAAGGGGAATTGTTTGGGGGAAGTTTTCTGTCCTGTGTCATACAGGAGGTCAGAGTAGATGATCACAATAGTCCCTGCTGGCCTTGGGATCTATGAATCTAAGACGTGGAAAACTACGGGTGCCTCTGTTTCTGATGCGCCTTAAAGAGGCCACGGTTTTGAGCAGAACATGTCCCTTTGGGAAAATCAACTTTCTTAAGGTGTCTTCAATCAACTCTTCAGGACCCTTAACCTGGACCCCCAGATTCTCAAACCACTTTTGCAAATATTGGACGTGATGACAGAAGTGCAGGCCACCTTCACCCAGCAATGTGTCTCCGTGCAGAATAAACCAACTCACAAGGGGACGGAGACCATGGTCCAGTGTGGCCACATCTCCTGATAGAGGGATGAGCAGCTGAACCAAGACGTCATCCCAGGCAAGTGGGTGGAGAATGGAAGGAAATGATAAGGAGGCGTGTACAGGAAATGATTTCCTAATAAGGAGACTTGGCACCTTGATACTCGGAAATGACAACACCTGTCCACGGGATTTGCCTTGAGTACAACAGGCAATGTAAACACCCGCTCCTTCACTGGTGTGAAACCCGGAGGCAAGGGAGCCCTGTGAGACTGCTATGAAACTGGGGATTTATGGAGGCCCCGGGCAGTTCCCCAGCTGGTGTCAACGGGCGTCTCTCTATCAAAGTCAATGGGGCCAGATCCCAGCTGGTGTCAATGGGCTTCTCTCCATTGGAGTAAATGGGTCTGGATCCCCAGCTGGTGTCAATGGGCATCTCTCCATTTGAGTCAATGGGGCCGGATCCCCAGCTGGTGTCAATGGGCGTCTCTCCATTGGAGTCAATGGGGCCGGATCCCCAGCTGGTGTCAATGGGCGTCTCTCCATTGGAGTCAATGGGGCTGGATCCCCAGCTGGTGTCAATGGGCGTCTCTTCTTTGGAGTCAATGGGGCCGGATCCCCAGCAGGTGTGGTTCCCCATTGCTCCATCGGCTGGGTGTATGTTCTCCGGATGCCGGCGAGCATTTGGCTGTGGAGATGCTGTGGCCTGTTCCTGCGGGGGGTATTCAGTGGTGGGTGTCTGGGTGAGGGGTTCTCCATCATGGGGCAGCTGGAGGGGTGGCGCCTCTGGGTGTTATATGGCTGTGCTGTTCTCTATGTTAGGGGGATACATGTAGTTGTAGCTCAGAGCTAGTGACTGGTTCCTCTCCTCAATTTCCCGGGAGATCTCTGCTAGGCGATCCTGGAAGGCAGCCATGAGCTGCTTTGGCCCGTGTTCGGTAAAGTGCTCCTCAGGGTATGTCCCCAGGGGTCTCTGGAAGGGAACAGGGAGAGTGGTGAATACAGAGACATCAAAATCACTGAACTCCCAGAGGATCAACTCTAGGGCTGCATTCTTATTACTCCAAGGCTGGAGTAGAGAAGAGAGGTTTTCTCTGGGGATTGAAATAGCAAAGGCAAGGGCTGGGGCACTGACTGGTGGAGCTTTGCACGCGAGAGAAACAGACACTGAAGCAGCACAGAGCCAAGGAGACAGCCGGAACAAGCTTTGGGGGTGTGGCTCCGGACAAAGCCGAGAGAGAGAGAAAGTTTTTGGGCTGAGTGCTAGTTGGAAGGAGGCTTGGAACTGTGAGCAAGGAAATTGCCTCCTGTTCTTTGAGTCCTCCAGACTTTGCAAATAAACACAATTCCAGCAAAGAAACACCTGGGTCCACCACCAATGTCTCCTCCTAATGGAAACAATCCACGCCAGCCCCTGAATAATCATTTTCCACCCAAACTTTTCTCTTTTTTTTGAGAAAAAATGGATGTTTGGGGACACCAAAATATTTTCTGAATTATCCCTTTTGCCAAAGAGTTAATTTAAAAATAATACTGAAAAAAAATGTGACCCATGTCGAGTTTGCAACCCATTTTCAGTTCCAAATGGTTTTTTGTGTCGAACGTTCTGAAACGTCCACGCACAAAAATGCTCAGAATCGAAAGGAAATGTTGCTTTCGGGTTGAACAACAGGTTGGGTTTGACCCCAAAACGATTCATTTTCAACTTCTCGAAATCATCGACAATGGCAGCGCTATTGTAGCCGTGTTGGTCCCACGATATCAGAGAGACAAGAAGCCAGAGGGAATATCTTTTATTGGACCAACTTTCCTTGGTGAAAGAGCTCGAAAGTTTGTCTCTCTCACCGACAGAAGTTGGTCCAAGAAGAGATATTCCCTCTCCCACCTTGTCTAACAAACCAAAAAAGTCACAGATTCACCCACCTCTGTCATTGGAGATTTTTAAGAGCAGGTTGATCAGACACCTGGCAAGGATGGTCTAGATCATAGAACCATAGAAGGTCAGGGTTGGAAGAGACCTCAGGAGGTATCTACTCCAACCCCCTGCTCAAAGCAGGACCAACCCCAACTACAGCATAGATAATACTTACACTTGCCTTGAGTGCAGGGGACTGGACTAGGTGACTGTTCCAGGTCCCTTCCAGTCTTACACTTCTACAATTCTAACTGCAGGGTCCAAAATTTTGGTTAAACGGCTTGGGTCAGAAATGTTTAACAATGCTCAGGGTGAGCTGGGTCTATGGAGAGAACTGGAGAGTACTTTATGTCTGAACAGTGGTCGAACCCGTCTCCATAGGGAAAGACCTCTCCCCACCTCTTCTGACAGGCCCCAGGCCTCTAAACAATGATCACATGCATGTCACTTTGGGGACATTTCCTCCCTGTCGGCACAGCGGCTGTCCACCCCCACCATGTCCCGAGAGGGTAACAGGAAAGGGGCTGAAATGCTGGGTCCATGTCCTCAAATCAGCAGCAGGTCCAATGGACCTCCTGCTGATTGACATCAGCTGAGGATCTGGCCCCATTGACTCCAATAGAGAGATGCCCATTGACACCAGCTGGGATCTGGCCCCATTGACTCCAATGGAGAGATGCCCATGAACACCAGCCGGGAGCTGGCCCCATTGACTCCAATGGAGAGACGCCCATTGACACCAGCCGGGAGCTGGCCCCATTGACTCCAATGGAGAGACGCCCATTGACACCAGCTGAGGATCTGGCCCCATTGACTCCAACAGAGAGACGCCCATTGACACCAGCCAGGATCTGGCCCCATTGACTCCAATGGAGAGACGCCCATTGACACCAGCCGGGATCTGGCCCCATTGACTCCAATGGAGAGACGCCCATTAACACCAGCCGGGAGCTGGCCCCATTGACTCCAATGGAGAGATGCCCATTGACACCAGCCGGGAGCTGGCCCCATTGACTCCAATGGAGAGATGCCCATTAACACCAGCCGGGAGCTGGCCCCATTGACTCCAATGGAGAGACGCCCATTGACACCAGCCGGGATCTGGCCCCATTGACTCCAATGGAGAGACGCCCATTGACACTTATCTTTGAAAACTCGTGGCGAACCGGGGAAGTCCCGGATGACTGGAAAAAGGCTAATGTAGTGCCAATCTTTAAAAAAGGGAAGAAGGAAAGTGATCAGGAACAGCCAGCATGGATTCACCAAGGGAAGGTCATGCCTGACTAATCTAATCGCCTTCTATGATGAGATTACTGGTTCTGTGGATGAAGGGAAAGCAGTGGATGTATTGTTTCTTGACTTTAGCAAAGCTTTTGACACTGTCTCCCACAGTATTTTGTCAGCAAGTTAAGGAAGTATGTGCTGGATGAATGCACTACAAGGTGGGTAGAAAGCTGGCTAGATTGTCGGGCTCAACGGGTAGTTATCAATGGCTCCATGTCTAGTTGGCAGCCGGTATCAAGTGGAGTGCCCCAAGGGTCGGTCCTGGGGCCGGTTTTGTTCAATATCTTCATAAATGATCTGGAGGATGGTGTGGATTGCACTCTCAGCAAATTTGCGGATGATAGTAAACTGGGAGGAGTGGTAGATACGCTGGAGGGGAGGGATAGGATACAGAAGGACCTAGACAAATTGGAGGATTGGGCCAAAAGAAATCTGATGAGGTTCAATAAGGATAAGTGCAGGGTCCTGCACTTAGGACGGAAGAACCCAATGCACCGCTACAGACTAGGGACCGAATGGCTAGGCAGCAGTTCTGCGGAAAAGGACCTAGGGGTGACAGTGGACGAGAAGCTGGATATGAGTCAGCAGTGTGCCCTTGTTGCCAAGAAGGCCAATGGCATTTTGGGATGTATAAGTAGGGGCATAGCGAGCAGATCGAGGGACGTGATCGTTCCCCTCTATTCGACATTGGTGAGGCCTCATCTGGAGTACTGTGTCCAGTTTTGGGCCCCACACTTCAAGAAGGATGTGGATAAATTGGAGAGAGTCCAGCGAAGGGCAACAAAAATGATTAGGGGTCTGGAACACATGAGTTATGAGGAGAGGCTGAGGGAGCTGGGATTGTTTAGCCTGCAGAAGAGAAGAATGAGGGGGGATTTGATAGCTGCTTTCAACTACCTGAAAGGGGGTTCCAAAGAGGATGGCTCTAGACTGTTCTCAGTGGTATCAGATGACAGAACGAGGAGTAATGGTCTCAAGCTGCAGTGGGGGAGGTTTAGATTGGATATTAGGAAAAACTTTTTCACTAAGAGGGTGGTGAAACACTGGAATGCGTTACCTAGGGAGGTGGTAGAATCTCCTTCCTTAGAGGTTTTTAAGGTCAGGCTTGACAAAGCCCTGGCTGGGATGATTTAATTGGGAATTGGTCCTGCTTCGAGCAGGGGGTTGGACTAGATGACCTTCTGGGGTCCCTTCCAACCCTTATATTCTATGATTCTATGATTCTATGATTCTATGACACCAGCTGAGGTCTGGCCCCATTGACTCCAGTGGAGAGACGCCCATTGACACCAGCTGAGGTCTGGCCCCTCTGTGGGTGTTTCAGAGGCAGTGAAGGACACACACCCCCAATCCAATACTGAAGGATTCAGAGTGGGGGCTCCCCTCCCGAAAGACCCCCCCTCCCGATCCAGGGTCCCCGCTTCTTGCTCCACCAGCCCCAGCAGCCCCACTCTTACCATGTCCTGATCCTCATTACGCAGCACCCAGAGGACAGAGAGGATCAGGCTGGTGGTGTTCATCTCAGGGATGGTGTCCAGGAACTCCTTCAGGGTCACCTTGGCCTTGTTCCGGGGTGGCGGCTTCCGCATGGATGACGGGTAATTGGGCATGAAGACTGCCAGCTCGAACTGGGGCCGGGAAAGGGAAGCCAGAGGTTAGATCCCACCAGGGAGCTTGGCTGGCAAGGTCATGAGAGAATCCAGGAGTCCAGTCCCAGTGACTCCATGATCTCCCTCTGTGCCACCAGGCAAGGCACCAAATGGCTTCGTGACTCAATTTCCCCATCTGTACAAGGGAGGTGATAATTCTTCCCGTTGTCTGTTTTATCTACCTAGAGGGTGAGCTCTTTGGGTCAGGGACCATCTCTCACCATGTCACCGTGCAGTGCCTGGCACAACGGGGGACCCGATCTCGGTCAGGGGGGTCTGTGCAGCCCCCGGCATGACTGGGCCCTGATCTCTGACATGGATTTTCATTTAGATTCATTTTGTTGAAAAATGGAAAAATTACAAAGGAAATGAAAATTTTCTAAAAAAAATGTTCAGAGGGAGGGGACGGAACATGTGCAAGATGCTTGACAAAGCCAGGAATAGAACCCAGGAGTCCTGGCTCCCTCCCCGCTCTAACCACTAGACCCCACTCTTCTCCCAGAGCTGGGGAGGGAACCCAGGAGTCCTGGTTCCCAGCCCCTCCTGCTGTAACCACTAAACCCCACTCCCCTCCAAGAGCCAGGGAGAGAACCCAGGAGTCCTGGCTCCCAGCAACTCCACCTGGGCTAGAGTGGACTTTAAGCCACAGTAACTCCTGGGCATGAGCCACCAAGTCTCAGACCCCAAAGTATGGGGCGTACCCAATGGGGTCCAAAGGGCAGGAGGGGACAGACTGGGGCCCAAGGGCAGGGACACTGGTGTAAGGAAAGGAAATGGGGAGAAGGAAAGAGACACCCCCTCCAAGAGGGGGACAGGGCGGGCGGCCCTCACCCACCTGCCCGGCGTTGACCGCAGCGTGATAGGCGGAGCAGGTGAAGATCACCATGGTCAGGTACTTGGTCAGCTCGGCCGCGGTGCCCAGAGTAGAGGGGACACCTGCCGGGGAGGGATGGACTGGTGAGCATGGGACTGGGGCCCCCTCCCCTGCCCCTGGCTGGGAGCCTCCCGTCTCCGCTCCCCCTGCCAGGGGTGGTGCTGGCCCAGTGCAATACCAGCCTCACTACTGCGAGTGCACGTGTAACACCGACAGACTCGGCGGGCGGGATCGAACCGGGGGCCTCCGGAGCTTAGTGCATGAGCCTCTACCGCGTGAGCTAAAAGCCACGTGGAGGCGTGCGGGCGACCCACGGCTGTCGCACGGCAGGCGTCACGCCTAGGCCGTGGCTGATGTTTTCACAAGCGCCTTGGAGTTTGGAGACACCTTAACGGGGGCTGGTTCTTGGGGGTGGGAGGGAGGACCCCTCAGCGGCGCCTGTGACCCCAGGCCCAGAGATCGCTGCCCGCTAGCTGCCCCCGCCCTCTCACCCGATGCCTGTCGGCCGAGGAATCCCTTGGTGAATATCTCGCCCACCCACGCCTGCAGCTCGTGGTCACTCTGCACCGAGAGGCTGGTCCGGTAGTAGATCCCCACGATGCCGGAGACAAAGCTGGGAGAGTTAAAGGGGAATCGGGTCAGCCCGGACGCCGGGGTCCACGGTGAGAGGCTTTCCCCTAGGACAAGCCAGGGGAGCCCCCCTCCCTCCAGTCTCCACAGAGCTATTCCTGCTACCCTTCAACTTCACTTCCATGACCCCATCGCTTTTTACCCGCCTTAAGGGGAAGCAACGTGGGGAGGGGGGCGGAGAGAAGCAAGCAGGGGCAGGGCCTCGGGGAAGAGGCAGAATGAGGGCGGAGCCTTGCAAGGGAGGGATGGAGTGGGGGCGGGGCCACAGTGCAAGCACCGGTGGCCCCCCTACTTCTAGGGAGTTTCTGGCGCTCCTGGTTTGGGCTGGAACTTTTGGGGGGTACAAAATGAAGTGGCGGTGACCCTGAAAGAGTTTGCAAATGAATTCGGTGTTGCCAGATCTTGTGCTGAGAAAACAAACCATCCGAAAATCTGGAAACCGCCCCGAAAAATTAAATTTTGTTGTTGTTCAAAAAGTCCTGGAAATTAATTTTTTTTTTAAAAATCAAAAAAGTTTCGAAATGCTCCAAATGGAAACAAATCAGGTCAACTGACACAAAACAAAATGTTTCATTTGACCTGAAAGGAATTTTATTTTTGGGGTGTGATTTTTCGAGGGGCTGAACATTTTGAAAATTGTCAGTTTGGGGCCACCCTAAAACTATTTTATTTAATTAATTTATTTATTTATACTTTCCAAAATTGCCAACCCACCAAAAAAAACCCTTAGTCCTTTGACCGTGTGGGCACTTTGGAAAATGTTACCCTCTAAATGGAGACTTGCCCCGGGTTAAGCACAGAAGTGAATTTAAAGCAAGTTAATTGAACTTAGAGGTTTTTAAGGCCCTGGGTGGGATGATTTCATAGAATCATAGAATATCAGGGTTGGAAGGGAACCTCAGGAGGCATCTAGTCCAATCCCCTGCTCAAAGCAGGACCAACCCCAACTAAATCATCCCAGCCAGGGCTTTGTCAAGCCGGGCCTTAAAACCTCTAAGGATGGAGATTCCACCACCTCCCTGGGGAACCCATTCCGGTGCTTCACCACCCTCCTAGTGAAATAGTGTTTCCTAATGTCCAACCTAGACCTCCCCCGCTGCAACTTGAGACCACTACTCAAGATTTAGTTGGGGTTGGTCCTGCTTTGAGCAGGGGGTTGGACTAGATACCTCCTGAGGTCTCTTCCAACCCTGATCTTCTGTGGTTCTATGAACCGGCAGCAGATCCTGGGGCTGACGGTCTCATTTTGGCTGTTCTTCGATTGGGATCGCGTTGAAGTGGTTTCAGTGAAAGTGAATTAAGAGCTTCCACATTGTCACTAAACCAGATTGAAATCTGATTTCAGTTATCAACGGGCCCAACTTTGTGTGGTAAAGGATGTTCGCTGGATCCCAGCAGAACAAGCCCAGTATGCAGGGCTCCCTCCCATACAAGACCTGGACTCCCACGGGGCCCTGCCCCTGATCCCCTCCACACTCAGAGCCCCAACACTTTGCCCCCTCTGATTTCACTAGGTCTAACCCCTTCCCCTACATTTGTCTTCATCTCTCCTCCCCACCCCCCACCCCCCAGCACCCCTCACCTCTCTATAGCCGCCCAGATCTTGAGCCCATCGTCCCTGTAGTAGTAGCTCTGGACTGAGCCAACACCGCGCTCCTGGATGTCATCGGGAAGGCAGAGCGTGGTGTAGGTCAGGGTCTCCAGGCCCTTGCGGAGAAGCTCGGCGAGGCCTGGACGCCCAGTCGCTATGGCCTGTGGAATACAGACCCGGCCCGGGCCCACTGGGAGTGACTGCCACGGAGCAGCAGGCCCCAGGGGAGGGGGAGGACACTGGAATTGCGTTAATTCCCCAGGGTCTGGGGCCGCGCTGGGAATCAAACTTACGAAATCCTTTGGTGACAATTGATTTTCCCTCCTAAAATATGTTCAGTAATGAAAGTGACCAGGAAAATAAAAGGAACTGGGGACACGGGGGACAAAAGGAAGAAGGAGAAGGAAAAAAGGGAGGAAAGCAGGAAAAACTAATTAAGATGAACAATGGGGAAAAACAAGAAAAAAAACAAGAAAAAGAAGTGAAAAAATAAGAAAAAAGGGGAAAAGAGGGGGGAAGAACAAGGAAAAGGGGAAACCCAAGAAAAAATGGAAAAACCAAGAAAAAACAGACAAATCAAGAAAAAGAAGTGAAGAGAGAAACAAAGAAAAAGGGAAAACCCCATGGGAAAAAATGGAAAATCCAAGAAAAAATGGAAAAAATAACCCCAAGAAAAACCAGACAAACCAAGAGAAAAAAGGGGAAAGAGAAAAAAAAACAAGAAAAAAGGGAAAACCCAAGAACAAAACGGGAAAACCAGGAAAAAGCGGGGTGGGGGAGAGGAGCCGGGAAAACAGGGAAAGGACGAAGTCGGGGAATCTCAGGGAAAAGAAGCAAAAGGCAACAAAGGAAGGAAAATCACGATTATGAAGGAAAATGCCATAAAAATGCCATGAACTTTTTTTTTGAAAACCAACCATTTTAAGTGCAAAACCTTTAATTTTTCCCCACTGGCCATTTTTCAGTGAAAAACATGTTCCCTCGCCCTGCCTCGCCCTAATCAGAAGGGAGGAAACTGCGGTTCGGGCCATGCCCACAAAAGGGCTAATTGTGCTTGGGTTGAAATGGTTCCAGTGAAAGTGAATTAAGAGCATCCACACGGGGGGGGGGGTGTCACTAAACCAGATTGAAATCTGATCTCAGTTATCAACGGGCCCAACTTTGTGTGGAAAAGGATGTTCGCTGGATCCCAGATGTGAGGTGGCCAATGAGCGCCAACCACCAGGAGGAGCTGCTTCTGCCTTGCGTTTGATTGGCTGAGCAGGCTGGAGGCGGAGCTGGGTGGGTAGAGTTTGGGAAGGGCAGTGGTGTAGTTGATTTGATGGGCAGTTTGGTCATTCTCCCTCCTTTCTGAACAAGCTATGGGAGGCAATGTGGCCTAGGGGCTAGCACCCGGGGCTAGCACCTAGCTCTGCCTGGTTCATGCTGAGTGACCTTAGGCAAATAAGTCCCTGTCTTCTGCCTCAGTTTCCCCATCTGTAAAATGAAGCTAATGCTCCTGATGTCCTTTGTAAAGTGCTTCGAGATCTAGGGGTGAAAAGCACCAGCTACAAGCAAGGGATTATATTATTATTATGAGACGATCCGCTCTTTACCCGATCGAATACGCCCCCGGAGCTGATGAGGAAGGTCCGGGCCAGGACATTGATGTGGATGGAGAACCGGGTGTGAGGGATCAGGAGCTGGAAGAGAAGAGGCGCAGGGGCTGAAGCAGCTGGAGAGGAGGTGCCAAACACACACAGCTGGGCACTTCGAGAAGACACACACGGAGATACGGGTGACTCCTGTGTATAGCTCCGGGGATATATGCCTGGCTGGGCCCCTCTCAAACTCACGCATCCAGAATCCTACTGGGCTTGTCTGAGCATCACAAAGGCACAGACTGGGCACCTCTGGGGCATGTGCCCCAGCCAGGCACAGCAAGAACCGGGCCCCTTGGTCAACTCCCTTAACATGTCCCAGCACCTGCAGAAGAGGGTGGCCAGGAATGGGACTCACCCCACCCCTGATGCCACCTGTTTGATCCCTGCATAAGGGGCCGGGTGTGGACACTGGCTGCCCGCCGCCTTCCCATTGGCTGACTCCCCAAGCAGAGTGGGGCCCCGCCCCCCCATGGACCCGCCCCCCACAGCAGCTCCGCCCCCCTCACCTTGTACAGGGGGTGGCACATGGGCAGCTGGCGCTGGGTGGCCACTGAGAAGACCTCGGCCAGCAGGTGGGCACGGAGCAGGTGGGAGGTGACCTCGTGCAGCTGGAACTCGGAGCTGCGCACCCAGGTCTTGGCCAGAGTCCAGAGCCAGTCGCAGTCACTGGGCAGGAAGATGGGGCTTTCGGGACCTGGGCGCTGGCTGAGCTGTGGGGGAGCTGGGTCAGAGCAATGGGTTCGGTACCCCCGGGTCGGAGCAATGGGCCCACCCAGCCCGGTATCCCCTCCCCCCTCCCCCCTCCCGGATCAGAGCAATGGGCCCATCCAGCCCGGTATCCCCCCCGGGTCGGAGCAATGGGCCCATCCAGCCCGGTATCCCCCCTGGATCGGAGCAATGGGCCCATCCAGCCCGGTATCCCCCCCGGGTCGGAGCAATGGGCCCATCCAGCTCGGTATCCCCCCTGGATCGGAGCAATGGGCCCACCCAGTCTGGTCTCCCCTCTGGATCGGAGCAATGGGCCCATCCAGCCTGGTAGCCCCCCATGGTCAGTGCAATGGGCCCATCCAGCCCCATATCCCCCCAGTGGACCCATTCACCCACTGGATCAGAGCAATGGGTCCATTGGGTCTGTGCAGCGCCTGGCACACTCAGGCCCTGCCCACAATAATAATTGTGCCTTTTGAAATGGTGGAGCCCAGTTGCTCCCTAGTTGCAGGGGGCCCAGGTGGCTCAGGAGGGGCGAGCAGAGAAACCCCTCACCTGGATGGCCAAGGGGATGACCTCCCCGCTGGGTTTCTGGTGCAGCAGGCACAGGGGCGCGGCGACGTACTGCTGGTGACCGTTCACTCTGGTGGTGGGAATGTCTTCCAGGAGCTTGTAATCTGCTAGATAGATGCTCCCTCTCTGTCACGGAGAACAGAGGAGGGTCAGTGCCCCGCTCCCAGGGCTGTGAGCTTCCCTTCAACAGTGTCCCAGCAAGCAACACACACAGCGCGTACACAGTGTTAAAATGCAGCCACCTCTGGGGCAGAGCAGCTGGTTATACAGGGATCCCTCACCCAGCACTGAGATGCAGCCACCTCTGGGGCGGGGCGGCTGGTTATACAGGGATCCCTCACCCAGCACTGAGATGCAGCCACCTCCGGGGCGGGGCGGCTGGTTATACAGGGATCCCTCACCCAGCACTGAGATGCAGCCACCTCTGGAGCAGGGCGGCTGGTTATACAGGGATCCCTCACCCAGCACTGAGATGCAGCCACCTCTGGAGCAGGGTGGCTGGTTATGCAGGGATCCCTCACCCAGCACTGAGATGCAGCCACTTCTGAGGCGGGGCAGCTGGTTACTCAGGGACCCCTTGCCCGGCGCGGAGATGCAGCTACCTCTGGGGTGGGGCGGCTGGTTACCCAGACCCAGCTATGCTACAAACAATTTAGTTTGGAAAGAGAGCACTGGGCTCCCACCAGTAGGAGTTCACGGGGAAGGAGGGCAGGATGGACTCGACAGGGCTGGGACTCAGCCAGGCTCTGATTATTTTCAGGGGGCGGGGTGTTACCTGCAGCTCCTCCCGGAGGCTGGTGGATTCCCCCAGAGAGCCGGCCACCATCTCCTGCGTCACGGGGAAGTTCTCGGGAAGCTCCGTGCATTTCCGGATCAGAACGGGGTTGAACCCATTCAGATACTGGTACCCGAAGAAAGCATCTTCCTGCCAGTGCTCAATGACGTACTCTGGGGACACAGACACACACCAGCCCTTGAAATAAAACCCCATCACCTGGGGAGGGGAGTGGGGTCTGGTGGTTAGAGCAGGGGGGCTGCAAGCCAGGACTCCTGGGTTCTCTCCCGGGCTCTGGGAGGGAAGTGGTGTCTAGTGGTGAGAGCAGGGGACTGGGAGCCAGGACTCCTGGGTTCTTTCCCTGGGTCTGTGGGGGGAGTGGGGTCTAGTGGTGAGAGCGGGGGCGGGCAGGAGAGAGAACCAGGACTCCTGGGTCCTTTCCTTGGCCCTATGTGGGGAGTGGTGTAGTGTGGAGCTGGGAGCCAGGACTCCTGGGTTCTCTACTCAGCACTCAGAGGGGAGTGGGATCTAGTGGTTAGAGCCAGGGGGGCTGGGAGCGAGGACTCTTGGGTTCTCTCCCTGCCTCTGGGACTAACCGTTAGAGCGGGGCAGGGGGAGAGGACTTTTGGTTTTTTTGCCCTGGCTCTAGGAGGGGAGTGGAGCCAAGTGGTCAGAAGGGGGTGGGGGCTGGGAGCCAGGACTCCTGGGTTCTCTCTCAAGCTCTGGGAGGGGAGTGGGGTCTAGCGGTTAGAGTAGGGGGGGGCTGGGAGTCCTGAGGGGAGCCCTGGTGGGGGGCAGAGGGTGGCAGGACCAGTTGTCCTGGAGGGGCCGTGTGTTGGCCCACAGATGACACAGGGAAGGAAAGGGGGGATCCCAGCGCCAGGGGGTCTCCCTGTGCTGGTGTTGGCTCCCCGCCCCTCCCCACAGCGCTTGGAGCAGCACGGACCTGAGACCGGGCTGTGGTAGAACCGGAAAATCTTGGGGATGTCAGTTAACGTCTCCCAGGAGTACGGCCGGTCCAGGAACCCCTTAAACTTGGACTCCAGCAGCCTGCGGGGACAGGGAGCCAGGCTCAGAGACGCTGTGTGTGCGCCCTCTGCCTGGACCCTCTGTCCCCCTCACACCCCTGTCTCCATCCGTCCCCATCCACACCCTCTGTCTGTCCCCCTCACACGCCCTTACCCCATCCACACCCTCTGTCCACCCCTTCACACCCCTCTCACCCCATCCACACCCTCTCTCCACCCCTTCACACCCCTCTCACCCCATCCACACCCTCTGTCTGTCCACCCCTTCACACCCCTCACACCCCATCCACACCCTCTGTCTGTCCTCCCTCACACCCCTCTCACCCCATCCACACCCTCTGTCTGTCCCCTTCACACCCCTCTCACCCATACACACCCTCTGTCTGTCCACCCCTTCACACCCCTCTCACCCCATCCACACCCTCTGTCCTCCCCTTCACACCCCTCTCACCCCATACACACCCTCTGTCCACCCCTTCACACCCCTCTCACCCCATCCACACCCTCTGTCTGTCCCCCTCACACTCCCTTACCCCATCCACACCCTCTGTCCACCCCTTCACACCCCTCTCACCCCATCCACACCCTCTCTCCACCCCTTCACACCCCTCTCACCCCATCCACACCCTCTGTCTGTCCTCCCTCACACCCCTCTCACCCCATCCACACCCTCTGTCTGTCCACCCCTTCACACCCCTCTCACCCCATCCACACCCTCTGTCTGTCCTCCCTCACACCCCTCTCACCCCATCCACACCCTCTGTCTGTCCTCCCTCACACCCCTCTCACCCCATACACACCCTCTGTCTGTCCACCCCTTCACACCCCTCTCACCCCATCCACACCCTCTGTCTGTCCTCCCCTT